CAGCCAATGAACATACTTATTTTTTTTGCACCACTAGACATATAAACAATAAATTTTACTTCTAAAGTAAATACGAAAGTTTTCGTAAAATTCTTAATTAACGTGAACTCAAGGGGTCGATCATTTTCTCAATCGAGCTCTTTCACTGTAACTAAGTGCAGCACATCATGATGATGACTGCAATCTAAGAAAGACTAGTTAAGATTATTATATTCCTTTTCTAGAAATAATTGGCACGGTTTTTTAATTGCTATCCATGTTCTTATTGTTGTTCTTGTTGGAAGCTGAATTAGATGTTGAGGAAATATGCAAATATCACTAAATAACACCTGTCTCACTGTTTATAAGTTATATATCGTGTTCTCATAATTCCTTTGTAACATTAATATTTGTGTGCTGTCTCAGTCGTGCTAGCTGTATCCTTATAGAGATAAAACATCTAAGCTAAATTACTTGGCAGGATTCGATCGATAGCAACTCTAGCTTCTTGAGTGCTCTCCAAACTTCCCAAGCACTTCATATCTCGATGAACGCACAGTTTTATAACATTTTCGACTAGATGGAAATTTTTTTTTCTCGAGCTAGTTTTTTGCTGACGTCATGAGCGTGCACAATAGGAATATGAAGCACGCTCGCGCAATCGAATTTGATTACACAAATTTACTAGCTATGTTATAAAGTTTATTGATCTAGGCGATGAAATAATTTAAAGGGCAATTTGAATTGATTAAGCATGATAAAGGCTCTAAAAGAAAGAAAAAAAAGGAAACTTGCCCACTCCCCAGGGGTTGTGTAATTTGTAGTCTTTAAAAAATTAATAAGAGCTAATTTGTTCCAAATCAATTTCACGAATGATATTTATGGTTGGCACTTAGTTGAACTTTTGCAATGTTTGGCTTCAACTGACTCGCCATCAGCCAATGAACATACTGATTATTGCATACATAGACATATAAACGATAAATTTTACTTCTAAAGTAAATACGAAAGTTTTCGTAAAATTCTTAATTAACCTGAGCTCAAGGTGTCGATCATTTTCTCGTTCGAGCTCTTTCGTTGCAACCAAATGCAAAACATCATTGTGATTACTGCAATCTATTTAAGAAAGACTAGTTAAGATTATTATATTCCTTTTCTAAAAATAATTGACAGGTTTTTAGAATTGCTATCCATATTCATTTTATTGTTCTTGTTGGAGGCTGAATAAGATGTCGATAAAATATGCAAATGTCACTAAATAACACCTGTCTCACTGTTTATCAGTTATATATTGTGTTCTCATATTTCTTTTTAACATTAATCTTTGTGTGCTGTCTCAGTCGTGCTAGCCGTATCCTTATAAAGATAAAACATCTAGGCTAAATTACTTGGCAGAAATCGATCGATACAGTGATATTCAAAAGTGAGCGATGTCCAACTTAGAGTTACCCTTCCGAAGCCTCGCCGCAGTTATAACTGGAACAAGTGCACTCCTTATAATGAACATCGTCAGCGTCATTGGAAACATTCTGGTCTGTTTAGCAGTGTACCGAAACCCAAACTTACGATCAACTACCAATCTTTATATTATTGCTTTAGCAGTCAGCGATCTAATTTGCGCAACAATTGAAATGCCATTGGCTTCAGCTGTTTTTATCATCGGAAAATGGGATTTCGGAG